CTCTCCTTCCGCTGCCTCCCCCTCCACCCCAATGATATGATGAGCCTTTGAGAAATAAATGGGAACTGCTTGATCTGTGTCCTGTATGTTGCAAAAATTCTGTGGTTTCTAGACTTCTGGTCTTTAAAGAAGAATAATTTTACTGTTTTACTGATGAGGGAAGGAGGATGATTTTTGTAACCTTGCCGACGAGCTTGTCCTGCTTTTTTAAAAAGACACCGTTCCTTGTCCTTTTCCCAAAGATTGTTAGACACCACTTTAACGCCATCACTAAATTGCAAGGGCAACATGAAGTAAAGTTTTGACCTTAGAGGCTCTGTTTCTTTTAGTTTGAGAAAAGAATCCCAGGATCTGTAAGACCCCAAAGAGGCAACTCTTATTGCAAGTTACTAATAAAAGATGCACCTACTAGGAGACTTGTTTTACCCCTGTATATTTTGTCTTACATGTTTTAGTCTGCCTAGCAATATAGAAAAAAAATGCAATACTTATTTCTGACTGTTCCACATGATGATGTTCCTTTATAGTACTGAGGGACAGTAGTTGCAAGTTTTTAGACTAGTGTCCCACTCAAACTTTTTAAAAAACTGTTCTACTGGATAAAATGGATAAGGAAGTCAGGGAGCTGTTGTCTTGAGTTTTGTTTTATAACCCAGAGCACGGCAGGGTTTAAAGGTCTGGCAGTTCTTTTTCATCCAGTAGAACAGTTCAATTCATTTGAGTTTGTAACACTGCAATGTAATCTGGTGAATACCGAGTTGAGCAGATTGCTAATAAATTGCATTGTAATGTCGGATATTCCCACTGTTTTGGCTGAGATCATAAGGCTTGTTGCATTCTTGCAGATAGCTGGACCAGCTCACTGCACACTGGGACCATATGGTCAAACTGGCAGTAAGGGCATTAGCCAGCCGTTAGGGCTGATTGAAGCCACGCTGGTAGTCTAGAGCAAACTAAAATGACAGTCAGGAGATAAACAGCAAATGGAAGGTTATAAAATGCCACCTAGCTAGCAAGGAGCCGTGGGAGTGGGAGTATGTTCAAGGGCTGATAGACATAATGCATTGTTGTGGGTTTGCTGGAGGGAATTGCTCATCTTCCCAGCCCTGTAGCTTGCAGCTGCTCTGCTGCTCCTCCCTGCACTGACCATATTGCTGGGGGAGCAGTCACTCATGTAAGAAGGTATGTGAATGCTTAGCAAGGTTTGTGGCTACCATTGCACAGTTATGAGGACTTTTCATGTTGAGGACTGGCAGTACGAATGGGTATTTGGTCTCTGTTCTTCTTTGTCTTTGTCAACAGTAACTGGAGCAGTGGTTAGAGAATTTATTTTGATCAGTTATTTTCTTATGCCAAATTTCTCTAAGTATGAACATCTGCTCTTCAGATACCAATAGATGAAATCACTATATTTATAGTTAAATAAAATATTACGGAGATGCATTTTTCATCTCTGGAAATGTCAGGTCGGTGAGATTAGCAGGAAAGGTTGGAAGTCACAAAATTACATACTTTTGGTTGTCATCTGACTGGGATGAGGGCGCTGTAGAACAGTTTGGTGCTGTACTGCAGTACTGGGGCAATAGCATTTATCTGCTACCTGCCTTTTCTTGGAGTTACCTTTTTGATGGTGATGCTTCTTGAATCTGTAAAGGAACCAGAAGGAGAACAAGGTATTTTGTGTTCTCTGTGGAGGAGAAATCTAGAAGCGTGATTGCTAATGCTAATTCCAGCCTTTTGTTTTGTTTTTGTTAGTGTTACATAAGATACCAGAAAAACAGAATTTTGTTGTCATGTTAAATTCAAGGGGCGGGGGTGGTGATGGGGGAACAACAAAGCTTTTGATCTTTCTTTAGTAAATAGGAAACTGGTTACAGAATGTAAATATTTATCTTAGGTGATGCTATAAGCAGTATATTTCTTTCTCTCTCATAACAGATAAGGACAAAATCAAGTTAGTCATCAAGATGCACATCTTGTCCTATGTTAAGTTGTTCATTTTGGGGATCAACGGCAGTGTAACAGTTGTCTTACTTTTCCACTAACTATGTGACTGACGTAATACTACAAAGCAGATTGAGGGAGTACTAGCACACAGCATTAAAGCCTTCACTGGTGTGCTGAAGGTTAAGTAAAACATTCAAATCAACAGCATTTCCTAAGTGGACGAGTACCTTTCTGTGTTCAGATCTCTTTGGTATTTATCAGTAGACAATGACTAGTCACCCCTAAAGTTAACTGCATTTTAAAATATTGATGCTGGATGAAAAGCTCAGCTAAAAAAGCATATATTACTCAAGACATGCTTGCTGTTTACCTAGGGTGGATTATGATGAATTATATTTCAACACTTGAAATTAAGAAAAGGTTTAATACTTGGAGAATATTAATGGTTGCTTGGGGATGGGACCAGCTCAGTGGGAAAAATAGCTTATGAAAGAAATGAATCTCAAATATCTTCCTCAATGTTGTTGTTTTCTCTTCTGGTATGTTCTTTGTTTCTAAAGTGCCCTCTGAGGTGTGGAGCCCTGAATGAGAGTGATGTTCTTGGGAGAAGGATTACCTCGTAATGAGGAGTGCTGGGGGAGAAGTCTCATGGATGCTTGTCCTGTTCTTAGCTGCATCTCTAGCTCAATTGAGCTGTTCTCTGGTGTGTGCCCAGGACCACAGTGGCTGCCGCTGTGCTGGTGGCATAGGAAGCTTCCTCATCACCTCTTCTTGCTTGGTGGCCTGCACAAGCCTGGTCCTTGTGGAGCCAGGTGGTTCCTGCATACCAGTTCCACATTAGCCCAGGAAGCATTCAGGAGAGTGCATGTGGCACTTCTTTGGCATAGGAGCCACTGTTCTCTTTTAAGTTTTTACAAAAGCTTTACTTAAAAGCAAGATTCAGACTACACTTAAAACTGCTGAAGTTGTGTCTTGCTATCAGCTGCCTTTGTGACTTTAAGGACATTGAATTGGACCATCTTACTTAAAGGGAATGCTGCGCGCTTGCTGCTGCAATGATTCCAGTCTGGATCTCCCTGCAGCTGAGGGAGAGGTATGTGGGCATGGTCATGCCTATTTATTTCTTTTCTAATGGTTGTACATCTGCATGTAGTGCCTAAAATCTATACAGATGACAGTTCTTTGTAACTTCATCTCAGCAGCCATGCGTGGCAAAATACAACCAGATAAAACAGGCAGCTTAGGTGATAGGAAGAGGTATCTATCACTTTAGATAGCCTCACTGATTCATGCTGGCCTCCGCAGTGGACTTGCTCGGGGAGGGGAGCAATCAGGCAAGCTGCTTTGCTGCCACTGCAGAAACGAGTTTTAGTACTCAAGGATGGGTAATGTTTTTATGCCCTGCCCTGATGAGAACAAATTGATGCTTTCTTAGGAGCACTGAAAGCCTTGAGCCCACTTCAGGCTACAGATTGTGGAGTGTGAAATAAAATCAGGGGAGGAAGAGCGCTAGTTAGTATCAGTTTTGGGAAGATGAATTATTTGTATTTGGGAGTCTGAGGCTGATGAACACCAGTCCAGCGCCTGCTGATGACAGTGGAAAAGCTATTCACTTAATGGGCTTTGGATTACTCTTGAGTAGCTTATTGTACCCACACCTCCTGTGGAAGGTGACGTATTCTTCCTCTGTCATTACTTCTTCATCCACATGTGTTACACCTGGTTGACCAACGTGCCTTAAAGGAGATCTTGTTGGTGAGTGCACTCGTTGCCACTTGTGCAGGAAGGAGAAGCTGTTGCTTTGTGGCCGCTCCTGTTTGCCCAGAGTCTTGCTGACCCTGGCTGCATGTCTGGAGTCACTTTTTGTTAAAGCTGAATTGAAGCAGCATCTTTGGCAGAAGATTGTTCAGAGGTTAAGCATTTTTTATTGTGCTATTAGTAATGATCGTGAAGGGATTTGTGTAAAATTAAGATGTGTAGTCTGTGCAGGTTCTGGTGTGGCTTTGGTAAGCATTGTTTGGTCACTATCGCTTTCTGTGAGCAATGGTGGCTGAGGCTTATGGCAGGCATCGTGCCGCCTGCAGCAAAGCCAGTCATGACATCTCTGAAGGGAACAGACGAGCGTTTCCTGTAAATACATGTGCTGGAAACATCTGCCCGGCACATTGAATTAAAGGATTTTTCTTGATGTGCTGTCTGACCCCGTATGCTGAGGAACTTCAGTACTCTGTTTTCCTCATGACTTCCCCCATCTTAAGCTGTCTTTTCGGCACACTCTTCCGAAGCTGAAGCTGTGAGGATGGACCAGACCTCACTTCCTGCATCTGTCCCAGCAGATGTACCACTTCCTGCCATGAATCATCCCAAACATACTCCTTTTTTATTGTTTTATTTAAGGGTGAAGGCACATTTGGTTTTCTGAAGCCACAAACTAATCTCTGCAGTCTTGCAGCCAAGCCTTAAATGAAGGCTCGGGTGCGAAAGTGTTCATAGGAAGGAAGCGCCTCCCATCGGTGGTGATCACGGGCAAGCCCGGAGCAGAGCTTCTTTCCTTGTGGGCTTTGGCTGTGGTCAGAGGAACTGCAAACTTCGTCAGTTCTTGGAGAGATGCAGCAAAACGTCTCCTCTGTTTGCACGTCAGTGTCAAACACACCATGACCTCCGGTTTTCAGAAGTACATTGCTACAGCTAACCAAGTGCTACTTGTCAAACGATGTTAAAGGAGGGGGGCATAATCTTTTGTCTGAGAAGTCTTGGCTAGGTTTTGGATCCTCTCTGGGGCTGATGTTTGCAGCTTTGTTTTCCAGGGCTCATTCATTGCATGTATTTCAATTCCAGCAGTCCAAAATGAGGCAATTTTTTTGTCCTGAGGAGCTGAGGATGCATAGTTCTTGAAACTTGAGAGCTTACTGTATTTCACACAGAGATGAAATCCAAAATCCAACCCCTCAGTTTTGTCTTTAAAAAAAACCCACCAAAAAAAAACCCAACCCAAAAGCACATTAACTACAAAGTTGTTAAACGTTTTTTTTTTCCCTTGTTAATTTTTCTAGGGAAACGTCAGATTCACCACTTGGGAAACCAGCTTCAACTCAATCAACATTGTCTGGATACTGCCTTTAATTTTTTCAAGATGGCTGTGAGCAAACACCTAACCCGGGGGAGAAAGATGACCCATGTAATTGCTGCATGTCTCTACCTGGTGTGTAGGACAGAAGGAACTCCTCGTATCCTTTCACATTTCAAACAAACAAATAAATAAGTAAATAAAAGATACTTGTAGCAAGTCAGCTATCCCAGTTAGGTCTTGTTTCAGAATTTGAAAAGGTAAGTGTTTACGAGCTAACTTTGTCACTGCTGGTTTTATATAATGAAGTAAAGGGGAATTTTTCCTGTGGTTCAAGTAAAATTTTTCCCTTTCTAAATGTACAATACTTAATATTTACAAGGAGCTATAAATGTCACTCTGCCTCTCATCAATAACTCTAAATTTCTTCTTTCTCAACATTTTCTTCTAGTATAAAACTGCACTTTTCCTGTGCTATGCTAGGGATTTCTTGTTTGTGGTGTAATTTTTTATTTGTTTGTTTTGTTTTTCTTTTTTAAAACAAATGAAAATTAACCCCAAGCCTCCTGCAGTGGCAGCATTAAAGAACGGATTAGCATTCCAGTGGGTTTTCCATCAGATATATGGATTTCCTTCTCTTAATGCTTGCAGGAAGGACAGTATCGCTCCCGTTTTAGTTTTGGGGAAAAAGGTGTTTGATAAATTCTGAAATTTGTTCAAAGATCATACAGGAAATCAGTGGCTGGAGGTGGGACTGCTTACAGGCCAGATCTGCAAGTGAGTACTCCTTGCTCTACATCATCCCTGTTTTCATCTTGTAGAACTTCATTACAATCCATATAAGCTTTAAGTACTGATGACCATCCAAATGTATTTGTTTTATATAGTTTTATTTCTTTTATTTGGTGTTTCAGTTGCTGGAATTTGGAGTTTAGTATCAAACAATTACTTCTGTGTTATTTTAGTTCTTTTCTACTTTAAAGCGGTATGTGCATATCATCAGTATTCTATTTGATTTGACACTTTTTCTAGGTTGCTGTCCTCATTCTATATTTTAGCAGTTGAACAGCTTAGCTTTCTTTTTAAGATTGAGATGATTTTTTTTTTTAGTTTAGAAACTACATTCAGTATTCTAAAATTAGTGCTTTCTGATAGTGTTTTGGTCATTGCATTTGCATGTTTAAAATAATGTGGTTTTGCAGGAATAATATAATTAAAAGGAAAGCTTGCCTATTACCTCGTCTTCTAACGTAAAGTCTCTGTGTGAACTTTGAACAGTATAAATCTATCATTAGCATAAAGACAGTGTTGATTTAAAAGCATTACCAATATTTTTTATGCTTATGTCACATTTTTAAAGTAATTTATTTGCAGTTGGTATTTGATACTACTGAATGATAGCCTAGCCATAATATGCAAGTCCATTTTCCCCCACTGGTAGTGATAAAAAAGCGTTCGAAGCAGTATAAGCTGTAAGAGGCAAATAGGTATATTGTAATGTAGCAGCCATCTGTGCATCAAGTGTGGCTAACTTCTCTAGCAGACAGTCCTTTGCTTGTTTTATATCCTTCTTTAAAGTATTGTATCTCAGTTATATGGAAGATGTACTGTTCTGGTTGACACCTCATAAATAACCTAAATTAATTTCCCAGCTTTTTTCATTAAATGGAGATAATATCCTGTGTGACACTTCACATAAAATACTAGGAGTAAAGTATGAATAAGACTGCAAAGACGGGCTCTGTCTTTCTATATAGATATCACGAAGTACTCCGTCTTCATCTGCATGGTTACTGTGCTGCCTGGGAATCAAGAAGTGGTAGTACATGACTGTATGGCTCAATTCTGTTAATGTTGATTTTTTTAAAAATCCATTAAATAGACTTAATTTTGTAGTTGATATTAAGTTTTAACTGTGCTACTTGTGAGAGTGAGTTCTGCTTCTGCCTTTGTTCTGCTGTTTGGATTTTGTTTTGTTGTTTTTTTTCTTAGTATTTAAAGTCCAGTGTCATTTGAAAAACAAACCCCAAATAAATTATGGATTCTGAATATTGAAATATAAGTTCCATTTCTGGTATCTTATCCTTTCATTAGACTCTTGAATACTTGAGAGCCACAGGTGCGTATTGCTGGCCTTTGAAATTAAAAATATGTTCAGGCCTCCGCAGATTAATTATGATGATCATTATCAGTGTGCTATGTTTGTTTCCAGCTTAGATCCAGCAATATAGAAATGTGCTACAGGAGGCAGATGTGTTCCCAGGGCCTTTGGTCCAGAGGGACCAAGAGCAGGTGTAGAGGGTGGCCATGTGACAAGATGCTTTAGCAAGAATGAAGATGCACGTTCAGGGTGATAAGCTTGCAGTTGGCTTTGGTCTTCTGGAGAAGCCAGCAGAGGATGGCATATGCTGTGTGGAGGAGAAATGTGCTGTGTGATATACTGTTCAAAGGAGATACAGTTTTCATAACACTTTAAGATTTATATGCACTGCTAAGTAGATTTGCTGAGTTGAAAGTGTTCATTGTCATTGTGTTGGTTGTGGAACTCTTATGAAGAAATTTGGGATAAATTTTGAAAAGGAAGTTCAAGACTGAAGATTGGTTAGTGTGTTTTAGAGGGTTTTAGAGGAAAGAGATAACATGGAAGAAGTAGTGATGGGCAGCAGCATCCTCAGAGCTCAGAGACAGCACCTTGGTTTTGGGTGGCCCAAATGAATTAGTGGAGTGACTTGGAAGTCATAGAGGCAAGAGACATTACCTGGGGACAGATCAGTCTCTGAAGTAGAAGACAACATGTTTCTTAAAAAATATTATGGTAGAAGGAGCAAACTGTGTATGTGGCTTAGGGAGGTACAGTGGGAGTAGTCAGGGGCTGAAGTAGCAAGAAATGTTGTGTTCTCTCCAGTGGCAGAATCAAAGGAGTGGGAAGCGTTTGGAGAGAGAAAACAGGATTTAATTGTGTCTGCATTGAGTTCAGTTTGAGGGAGTGGAATGTATTTATCTGACGTGGGTATCTGCTTATTCTTCTTTTTTTATAATGTACATGTCGCCAGCCAGCCTCTGTGAAAATGTGAGGAAAATTGTAGCCACGTCTACTGGTGCAGTCTGAATTATGCCTGAATAAACCTCAGCCTGAAAGAGGAAAACATTAAGTTGTCCTTGGTTCTTATGCACTGTTTAATTAATGCAAAAATGCAAACTATTCCAGTAACATTATTTTTTTTAATCTGCAAATAGTTCAAAACCATAAAAGTTTATTTATCTAAAATGCAGCTTTTATTTGTAGTTCTTTAGAAAGTTTACTATATTGTTTGAGATCTGAATTGATTTTACATCAGTTCATGGTTTTTATAGGCTTATTTGACACAAAACCCCACAATGCAGCAACTTTGACATAGCTTTTCATTTGCCTTGCTTATATTACTTGTCAGTGTTAGTGTTTTAAATGGAAGATGGTTACTAGCTATTAGCTGAATTTGGGATGTGTTTCATCCTTTTGATGAGCTGCCTATAAAAGCTTTAATTTATTGCGCTCTTTATAAAATGTGTCTGTATCATCAGTGTCAGAAGTAAAAGTATAATGCAAAAAATACATCTGAAGGAGACACTGATTTTTAAATCCTCAGATTTGATGGGAAATGGTTGCCCCCCTCCCAGGAGAGTGATGCAGAGCATTTCCAGTGACATCTGACTTCAGCTGGCACTGCCAGCGCTCCGGGCATTTCAGACTTTGGTCTTGATTTGTTTCTTGGAATAGTAACAGTCCTCAGTTGTTTCTCTTTAATGTTTTGAACAGCTTTTCCACCCCTACATATGTTTAAATGGAAACAAAGGGCTCTTTAGCTGGTCCTGCCGTTCCCAAGAGAGGGGACTTGGGAAGAGCCGGGCAGACTGTTTCAGTGACTTATGGGCTCGGCTGTAACCCGTGGCTGCCCTAGGGTCACTCAGGAACAATGAGAGCCTGGCCAGGATTTTCCAGGTGGGATATGAGTTTGTTTTAATCAAGGAACATTTAATTCTGTTTGTAATCGTTTTTACTGTACACAACTGTTAGAAAAACTGTACAACTGTCCACTATTTTGTTTGTAATATTTTCCAACACTACCACCTGGGTTTTTTACAGCAGCATTTTACATGGCCAGTGTCTTTTTTCCTCACACACATGCACCTTTTTTATTTTATTTATTTATTCTTTTCCTTTGAAGCTCTCTGGAAAATGCACCCGTAGTGGTAAACAAAATCCTGTCCTGTTAGAGTGTAGTAAATAAAACCTTTTCCACATGAGAAGAGTCCTTGCCAAGTTCCCTTAATAGCTGTCTTGTGTAAATATCCCTCTGTTTGCCTCTGGAGGTAAATTTGGGGCAGGTTTTTCCCCCTCCAGTAAAGCTGATCTGTCTAGATGCCAGGGGGCTCTCCGAGCCCTTCCCACCACCCAGGGCTAGGTCAGCCTCCTGAGATTGAGCTTGCCCAAGTTATTCAGATGGTCTTCAGCGGCTTTGCATGTTGTCAGAGGAAGGAGATGGGGTGCTCCTGGGGTCTGTCCAAGGCAGCCAAGTGAGGCCTCTCTTCTGAGTTTTTTGCAGATGAACCTTTCTGCTAAATGTCTGAGAAAAGTAACCTCTTAAATTTGAGCGTTGGGAACAGAAGGCTGACAGGAGAAAGCTTGGTGCCTTAGTGTCTTTTACATGTAAACTTGCCCCGGGTGGGAAAGCATAAGGCACTTTTCCTCCCCTGCTTCCTCTGCCCCGTGAACCTCCCTTTTGTTTGAGGGAAGATCATGAAGGCATTGCAGGATCCCAGCAGGCAAGAAGGATTTGGAAAAGAAATGGGCATCTCCTCACTGAATGGGGCTGTACTTTGTTATTTCCTATTTGTCTGCAGTACTTGTACTTTATTGCCAAGCTATTTGAATGCCTCCTGGTTTAGTGTGTTTATTTTCATGTCACAGTAAGGGAAGTTGAGAGTATTTATCTTCATTTCCAGGTGCAGAACTGAGGCTAAGTGACACATTCTAAGTTACCCAGAAAATCTGTGGTGGAGTAAGGAACCGGTCTCTTTAATCCTAGATTAGGCAGCAGCTACTGAGCCTTTCTGCCTTGTTGGTCTTTGCAAGAGAAGTTCAGCTAATTTCCTCTCCAGCATTAGCAGGCTCTGTTGGCTTCCATACTGTCTTGGGAAGCTTTGTATAACCTCAC